AGTTAAATGTCCATCTCTGAAAGGACGGAATTCCAACCATTTATGATAGGGTTTAAGAGATGGCATAAAATTTACTCCCTTCAGAACAATGGGAATAAATGACACTCAGCTTTCTTTCTCTATTGTAGATACATGACTTTGCAAACTGCTGGTTTCTTGAATTTCTCCATTGACGTGTAGATGAGGGACAGTCGTGCAGTACAACACGTGCAATCTGGATTCCAAAATCTTCTGATCGAGGGACTAGAGTGTCAACTGTAAGCATGAGACCCTATCAGCAGGCCAGAACAAACACTTAAACCACCAACCCGCTGTATGGGTAGGGTGCCAGCAACACTAGGTACAGAGGGATGTACGACTATGGATCCCAACGAAGTGGCTCGGACCATTTGGGTAAACATATGCACAAACCGTGACACCATTTATAGACTGCTGTGGGAATTCATCGAAGGGTCTGGACAGCAAGGCGACATTGCAGCATTGCGGAGATTTGGTCGAACGGGTTACTGGAATGTTTTGCTTCTCCAGATTGGTCAAGGACTATGCAGACTCAGATTGATGGCATTCGAAGAACCAGCCCTCACTGCAATAGAGGTCCATACTCACAGGAGACCTCGTCGAGGAAGCCAGGGACTGTCAGTGTGCTGGAGACGCCAGTACAAGGCAGAAACCAAAAACAAAACAAAAAAAAGGTGGGTGGTTGGCGGGTGCTCTGGTGTGGTTTGCTCCTTCTTTCTTATCAAACATCTGTCGTCATTATCTCCCCTCCTTCTTTTTTGTGTATGTTACTCTCCTGTTACACATCTATTCTTCGGCACTTATATGACCTTATATTGTGTTGCAAGTGCCGTAAATCTCTTACTAAAACTAAACTAAACAACCAAACTGAAACAGTCATGAGGTGAGATCTAAACTACGATATCGAAGCCCGTGATCAGACCTCATAAGCAACAATTTTTGCCAATTAGACTTTTTTACACTATCACATTCTCCTAATTACAGTGCACAAGCCAACAGAAAGTATACCTTAAAAAATTGTATAAAATTGTATTTTATCGCAAGTAAAATAAACTCGTAAGTCAATCCCTCCCCAAATGTTCTTGTGACCAGAACTCGTAAATGCCATAGTGCTGCTTACGAGCTTTGATTGCAACGGAGCGCAGTGAATCGAGGCGGTCATCGGTGCTTAGAAGTGTTTTAGGTTTTTTTTTAATGTAGGTGTTTTTACACCCCCATCGACATAATATAGATCATTTAGAAGGTGCGGTAACTGCTAACAGGAATACAATAACATCTAGGCAGAAAGACCTAGATACTCAATAAAAATTTCTTCCAACTCAGAAATTAGTCTTCGGTATCCTGCATCCAACAGTGAAGAGCCTAACCCCTTCACAACAGATGCCAGTGCACTTAGGAGTGGTCAAAGTAATATTGGACAATGACTTCTCCACACAAGGGCATATTCGAGCTTTTATCCCAATGGAGTGCAGTGAATCGAGACAGGTCAAAGGTACCTAAACAGGCTGTCCCCATAATTTTATGCACCCCGCATAATTTAAAAAAATTTGATCATTTTTTGCATAATTTCTGATTATTTTTCTTTATCATTTTAATTCACCACATCCATCTGTGCCCCTTATGGTCACTCCCGAACCATCCTTTTCTACCTGGTTCATTGCGTTCTCTGACACAATAAGTTCTCTGCTACAATCACCCCATAATATGTCACTCACTGCTGACCCAGCACTACCCTGCTTATCTAATCCATCTGTTCCATCACCCCATGTCTCACTCAAAATAAACCCTCCATCACATTTTAGGTCAGATTCCCTTGATCTCCATGCGTCACCCATTGTCGATGCAAGTTCACATTCTAAGCCTGGTTCACCACAGCATAAGTCATTTTTCTAAATTCTAATATATATTTTTTACACAATTTAGATCATTTAGGAGGCAGGCTTCCAACACTGCATGTCAGGGCCAATCCCAGCTGAGAAGGATACAACATCCCAGCAGATAGAACGAAATACTCGATAAAAAAGGCCAAGTAAATGCAAGAGCGCAGGAATGAAGTGTAAACAACTTTCCAAATGTGACAAACAGGAAGCTTTCAATTACATGTGGTCCCTCTCCTAGGAATTTGTTTGTTTGAGTAAAGAGAAGCACATTGACACAATAATGGATATATTTAATGCTGGGGAAAAAGTAAGACAGACAGACAGAAACAACTGAGAGAAAGTAAAGAAGTAGGACCTATCAGCGGCGCCCTCCAACCACCTGTACCTGTCCGGGGAAGGAAAGGTGGCATACATGAAAGTTTTGGTGGCAAGGAAAATGCCCAAATGGAAGAGGGTTCTAGACACCTCTACATATGAGAATGGATGTAAAAGTATTTCTTAAAAAAAGAAGACCAGAAACTCCCTTGATGCAAAAATATGTTCCTCACAACAACAGCTCTTAGTGAAAAGTACGTTAGGAACATTGTTGAAGATGGAGACACATCTGTCATCAATTAAACTAACAGCACCAACCGCTGTTCAGACACTGCCACAAGAGACAACCCTCACTACAAGAGAGCATCTAAGCAGAAAACTTTTCTCATTGAAGGTTTCTATGCAAAACTGCCTGAAGTGCCATGTCAATACTTTATACTGTCGAAAAGCGAACAGAAAAGTTGTAAATAGAGCCAATTTTCAAAGAACAAACGAATGTTACAGAGAGTATGTTGTGCTTTGTCACGGCCAGAATGACTAGAAGCTTTTTGCAGCAAACAACAGTAAAATCTCTGCAATTGCCATGGACCTTAACTCTGTCCTCCCATCGCTTTGTCTTCAAGTATCAGCGCTTTATTCAAAAACCAAATCAGCATGCACAACTTTACAATATTCAACCTAGAGACAAAAGATGTGAGATGCTATGTTTGGCATGAAGAGAGGGTGGGTTGTTGGCCAATGAGTCTTCATCATGTATCATTGACTATCTTCAAACAAAAGCTAACATTGAAAAAGTGACTATCTATTCAGACAGTAGCTGTTACCAAAATAGAAATGCTGTGTTGTCAAATGCCCTCATCAACTTCTGCTAACAACATCGCAATTGAGCAAAAATATCTCATGAAAGAGCATGTATACATTGAAGTCGATTCTGCTCATGCCACTATAAAAATTCCATGAAGTAAGAACACAATAATTTCTGTCTGAAAGTACACATTTTTTGCATGGTGAAAGTAGGCAGTATGCCTTATAAAGTGGTTTATCTTGAGCAACCATGAATTCTTCAGGGATTATAACAAGTCTGGTCCTTGGAAGTCAAGCAGACCTGGAAGATCCAAAGGCAACCCTGTTGCTACAGACATCTGTTGCCTAAAACATTCTTCAGATGGGAAAAGTACAAACTTGAATACACTCGCTCATGGGACAAGATTCCAAAACCCAAGAGGCTACGACACAACAATCATGGCAGAACTTACCAAATTGTATTGATGAGCCTCTGAAGATAGAGAAAAGCAAGTTAACCGCCTACAGCAGTTGAAAGAAGTACTGCAAAGAGACTATTGGCTTTATATATAACAAATTACATAACTGAAAAGATGTTGAGATGACATCCCACAAAGCAGCTTATTAACGATGTGTGTGTGTCATTATCATGTCAATAGCAGTCTATCCAATATCACATATTTCATCATATTTTTACCTTCTTTATGTGTGTGTGTGTGTAAGAGTGCCTTACCAAGGATCTCCCATGTGCATGTAATTTATTCCTTATCATTATTTAATCGATATGACAGATACCTTTTTGATTTCAATAGCTGATTTCAATTTCAGCCTGACGCTTTTGATTCCAGTACACATATCACTAATGTTTGATTACCTTTATCTCTTCCGTGTGATTAAGGAAATCTTTGCCAGACGCAAACACCAAAAAGTTCTCCCATTTGCAGGTTACTCTATTCATTAATTTGATACTGCTGACAAATAATCTTAATCCTTTTTAAACTCACAATACTGTTAAGTGTTAATGTGTAAAATGTGTTTTTTTTAAAGAGCATGTCATGTAATGTTGAACACGAAGTGTTGGACAACTTGCATGCATCATCCAGCCTCATTGTTCTGGCAAGGGCAAACCAATCGTGACACTTCTCTTGTTTCCAGTGGCGGGTGCGGCAGCCACCATACCGCAAATTTTTAAGTTTTAAGTGGGACCCAGATGGGAATCAAACCTTAACTTCACTTCCCTGACCTCAATTTGGTGTCTTGACCACCACGCTACGGGGGTCAGTCCTTTCATGCACAAATTGTCCCTCACTAGTACTCACTTTACCAACATTTCACTATGATCAAACCTCGTAACCCCCCCCCGGGCGGTGCCACTGACTGAAGTGTCTTCAGGCCATTCCCAAGGGGGGGACATTTTTCGTTCTTATGCACAGTAGAATTGTTAATGGGCTGATCTTACAATGTCATGCTCATAACTGTGCCTGAACTACAACAGGGAACTGCTGCTTTTTCTTTCCTAATCCTTACTATCGTTATTTTCCTCTACTTCTTTTGTATGTTTGTCACACTCTTGTAACCCGCTATTTCCGGGGTGCCTTAATAGTCGAAGAAGACTTTGTGCTGGTGAAGCTAGAGAAGTGAGCAGAGTAAGTCCGATTCCCTGTAAGGTCTTCTTTGTTGACATCCAACCCGTTGGCACTCATATGACCTTATGCAGTTGCGAGTGCCGTAAAACCTCAACTAAAAAAAAATTTTTAACCTCGTAAACAACAGTCATCACTTATGAGGTATGATCACATGTAGGCCTACTAAGTGCAATCATCTCTCCTAAGTGTCATAATAGCATAAAGTCAAAATTTGTTTTTCAAAAAGTAACTAAACCTCATTTAGTTACATTGTTTTGAGTGCTTCAATGTGAAATGAAAGAGGTCTAACAAGGCTATTTTGACATAAATCAGTTTTGTCCTTCTCAGGGGAAAAAATCTCTCTGGCAAACAAGGTCTGATCACGGGGGAACCGAATATGTAATTTACATGGCAGTTTGATTCTTCTACAGTTGAAGCATGGACCTAGTCATGATAGGACAGTGGGAAAGTATGACATTCAGAGGAACTTCTACTGTCAACTTACTTAATTTCCCAAAATAGACATGACCAGAATGAGAATCATAAATGAATATCAATCTATCATACATTATACATCAAAGGAATAGTGCACAATAAATATTGATAAACAAATACTGTGCCAAAATGATTACAGAAATATAACAATCATTGTGATTGGGGAAAAGAAAAAATATTGTTATGTCCTAAGTAAAGAATCTGCTAGTGGGGCATGCCTGGAACAGATAATCTTGGTAAAATTACTCGGCGGATCAAGAGGATTCTACAGGCAGCCGCACTGGCATTGTTGAAGAGCCGGTCACTGAGGATTTTGACCTTTCCATCCTGACCGTTGACCTCCAGGATGTCCACAAACTGGCTGGAGCCTGAGGGATAGCGAGTGTCACCCCCGACTACCAGGATGTTGGAGCCCCGCTGCAGGAGACCAAAGTTAAAGCGATCAAAGTTTGGTAGAATGCTGTGCCGCGACAGTGAGCCTGACTCCATCACTTTCATGATGGAGCCATTGGTCAGCGCAAGGTACATGCACGAGTTTATGGACAAGGCCCGACTCTCTGTCACGGCAGAGGGAAACTGGTTGATCACCATTGCCTGGCCCGTGAGGACATTGAAGGACTGGATGTCTCGCTTCCTCGTGCTGTCGTCCGCTCGCCCTCCAAATACATAGATCATGTGATCCACGGCGCACGTGGAAGCCGAGTAGACGCCAACCAGTAGGTTTCCCAGACTTGTCCAGCTGTCCTCTGCCAGATGGTACTGGATGATGCTGGTGAAGACACCGTCCCTTTTGTTCCAGCCACACACCGCATGCACCTGGTTACAGGCCACCACCATCTCATGGTAGCGACGTTTTTCTGGCATCTGACAGCACTCCTCCCAGATGTTGCTGTTGGGGTCGTAGCGCAGAACGTAAGCTTTACGCAAGGAGATTCCAGACATATACAGACAGTTATCAAGCACACAGGTCGCATAGCCCACTCCAGGGTCAAATGGCAGAGAGCTCAGCTTGAACCACATCTGAAAAAAATATATTTAGGGTTGTCAATATCCTTCAAAATAAAGGCATATTTACTAAAAAGAAAAAAACTAATGTCTTTCTTGAAACGAATCAACTTGTACATTATAATACATGATGTAATATGAAATATTTAAAATCTGGCTGCTGGTAAAAATCAAGGACGTATTTTAATTTCATCTTGTTTACTTGCTGCATCTGACAACTAATAACATCACTGCAAGTTGAACTGTGCCACAGTCGGGTCTGAATTATAATACCGTCTTATTTAAAAGCTTGAAAAGTGAATAAGAATTCTTGCCTTACGCCCTCAGAGGGCAGTTCTGCACATAAAATGTAATTATGAACTGACTTGTCACTCAGGTTTATATTTTGTGTAAGTTTTTAATAATAATATAAAAATGCAAGAAGACTAAATGTAAATTTACACTGAGAAATTAATAAGAACTTAAGACACTGGAAATATGACTATGTCACTCATGCTCTAGGAAGGTAATACTAGTAGCCTCCCTTTCGGTCTACAAGGTAGTCATGTCCTTTACCATTAAAATGAAATGTAATAACAGCAGAGTTACTCTTCAAAAGTTATCGTGGGATTTTTTAAACTTTATAAATGTTTTGGAAAATGTGTCATTTTCCAATTTTCGTATTTCAAATGTTTTTCTGTTACTTTGGCAACTGAAAGGTAACCAGTCACCGCGTCAAGCTTGGACATGAAAAATGATGAGTTGAGACATGATCTCATTGTTGTATAAACTCTTGACCAGAGGTACTCTTCCAGTGCACAAATGGCATGCATCTGTTAGAACTAAAAATTAAGGTTGCACCACTTCACATAGACACTGCAATTTCCTTCCATTCGTAGCAGTAAAGCATGGGTCAAAAACATTAGGTTTACAATATATACAAGCACTTAGAAACATCTATTACAAGATGAAAGAAAATTGTGATTTTTACACATGATTTGAAAAATTTTGAGATGCCACCAAAATCCAGCAGCAGAATTTCCAAGACAGGCTGAATCTTCATCATTAAAATTGCTGATATCACAAATCTAAAGAGGGATGGGTAATCATCAATAGAACAAAAAAAAGTATGAGGTATTCCATAAAAATCAGAACTTCCATACATTTCTAGAAAACACATGTAGAACCATGACTCATTCTACACCATGATCTTGGGGGGTAGGGGGGGGGGGGCGTGCATTACACTGCAAACATTTTGATCACATGCACTTAACAAAGAACACAGAATAAGACCAGGGAACAAAGGTTAAAATAAAGAAATAAATGATGTTGTTGGCAGCTTGAAAAAGAAAGTGTAAAGGTAAATTACCTTTGTGTTAAAACTGTAGGCATGTACTGTAGGTAGGATACCAGTAGCCCTGTGCACCCCAATGAGCACAAGCATGTTTTCATAGTTTCTTGAGGTTAAGGGGGTCTCCATGGCCACAGAATTGGAAGCTTCTGGAAAGGAATACCTTCTGTTTTCAGCTAACCCTTCTAGGTAACTGTCCTTTATATGGCACTCATTACGGACAAACCCAAGCAGCTTATTAAAACTTTCCTCAGATAAATATCTCAGTCTCAAATTCACACATATCTCGGTAAAGAATTTTGCTCGCTTGGTGATGTCATGCTTGATCCATGAAATGGCCGCCTCTGCAACATAATCCTCATCTGGCACTCGCAAGTCATCATCATTTAGCAACTCGTTGAGATGCTCAATGTCTACATGAAGGAAGTCAGGTTCTGTGTAGATGTCCAGAAAATTTGCCAAGACAAACCGTTTGGCTTTGTCAGCAAGAGCCTCGCAGTGTAAGCACTGCGCAAGGTCCCAGACAGCCAATGCATTATCGACGTTCAGATTCTCTGCGTAAAATGCCTCACAGCTGTCCTGGAGAGTGATCATTTGCAGCAAGCCGGCAGCCCGGAGCAGGTCTTCCGCAGTATCTGCATTTACCACTGACCTGTGAATATCAACAAACAAAAAACTGAATGAAGGTCAAACTAAACGAGATTCTGCTACACATTTTTTTTCCCCAGTTAATATGGAACATGTGTGCTCAAAGATCAAAAGACAACTTATATACGGACTAAAAACAACTGAAAGGAGACATAGAATGTGGAACAGTCTAGAAATGGCATAAAGCCAGACAGTAAGTAGGGCCTACTATAATATCGTGAAAACAGAAGGTTCGACCCAGTTGAATGTTTCAGAGGATAAGACAAACGCAGAACGACATCACTATCAGAAAACTGCACCCTGCAGAGAATCAGGGGGGAGAAAACAGTCAACAGTAAAGAAAAGATGAAAAACTCTTCCGTTGAACTGGCAAAAAGCTAAAATTACCATTACATTGGATTTGACGCTTCCCCCTTTTCCGTTCTTCTTCCCCATGTTTTGTCAATTAAAGAGAGGAGAGGAACTAAAGAACTTGAAAGTTGTTTTGTTTCAGTAGAGGTTTTACGGCGCTCGCAACCGCATAAGGTCACATGAGCACCAAGGGGTGGATGTCAAAAGAGAAGTCCTTACAGGGAATCGGACTTACTCTGCTCACCTCTCTAGCTTCAACAGCACAAAGTCTACTTCAACTATCAAGGCACCCCGGAAATAGCGGGTCACAAGAGTGTGACAAACATACAAAAGAAGTAGAGGAAAATGACGATAGTAAGGATTAGGAACGAAAACGCAGCAGTTCCCTGTTGTAGTTCAGGCACAGTTATGAGCTTGACATTATTGGATCAGACAATTTACAATTCTACTGTACATTAGAACGAGAAATGTCCCCTCTTTGGGAATGGCCTAAAGACACTTCAAATCAGTGGCACCGCCCCCGGGGGTAAAATTTGAAAGACCAACTTTTGTGTCAGATTGTTTGACAGTGAAGCATGAAAGTTGTTTACACGCTACAAATGCAAACAGACAGAAGAGAATGTTAATTAAGAATGATAAAATTTGCTCAGCTAGTCAGCACACAATTTGTTTTTTAATACAAATTCACGTTAACAACACATTGACAACAGAAAAGTACACTGGGAACAATTTTTGCCTTTAAAAATAAAGGCTAATACTGACTTGTACATTCACTACCAGTAGAACCATTAGATCTACTAGACAAAATACAGACTCAAAATTGAATACTGGTCTTGACAATTTTAGCAGGTATGTTTTTTTTTAAAGAATGACCAATGGGAAAAAACAAACATAAAGTACCAGAGGTTACAATATATACATTTCTATCATTTTTACTTTTCAACACAAACAAAATAAAAGAAACTCTAGTACATCTATCCCAGGGACATCTTGTTCAACAGTTCTTCAAGTGTTTTGAGCAAAGTGACTATGTTCAAGCTGAGGTTGTTTCAGGGCCAGTCAAAAATGGCTCGCAAGCCCCACTGAATACGATCAGCACCTTGAGAACCAGCAGTTCGGATCCCAAGCCCAATAGACCAAACAAAACAACAACAAAAAAAGAAAGGAAATGAAAGAAGAAACATTTTTAAGTCGAATTATACGAGCACGACTGTAATGAGCACACTTTACCTGTCACATGTATAGTAGAAATCCAGGACTGCCCTGAAGGTGGCTCCAGACAGGTCCTTGATGGTCACTCTACTGTCCACACTCTCCCTCATACCAGATGTGAACATCGCCAAAAAGTAGTCCGAAATAGCACAAAGAAAGACTTTGTGACAACGGAAGACGCTGTCACTCACCTAAAAAAGATATGATTTTTAAAATTAAGTATTAAGAACAGCATATTAAACTTGACAAAAATATTGTGTCGCAACACTGTGGAAATCAGGTGTTCATCAATTTTGGGGCATATATACGGAGTTATTGGTAACATCTTAAAGCTTGGTGACTTGCCTCGCACTTGGTGAAAAAAATACCCATCTAACTTGAATATAGAAGTTAAGTTATTTGCCATAGGAGGAGGTGGGGGTTGCCTGATTTCAGAGATAAAAATCATTGAGAACATGGCCGCCAAAGTTCGGTCCCTTCCATAACTTGAGAGTCCTTGGAAACTGAAAATTTACATTTTGTGTGCCTTAAATCAATGTTTTTATGTAATTTTCACACAGAAATGTCTTTTCAAATGGACAAAAAGATGTTGAGCCAAAAAACAAAAATTCGAAAAAAATTTCCAACAGGCAGAAAAGTATCAGTTTCTTCGATTTCATTAATTTGACGAGCGCCTGATTTCACCACAATGCCTCACATAATTCCCCTTGGTGAGAGAACATCATTCTGCCTAGAAAGATAAATTCTTTATCTATTTCATGAAGGATACTTGGGTAAAATTTCCCATTCCCATCCCCCCCCCCCCCGGACCACCACTTGCAGATTTACATTTTTTACACTGATTTTTTTTGTCTTCCTCAGGTAATACCAGTCGTTTTTCTTCAACCAAGAAGTCTTTCTACTTCTCTTCTTTTGCTCCATCATGGTCCACTCTTTACTAAAACTTCACCTAGACCTACCTTTGCACACACTCAGCAAGCTATTGCATAAAATGCGTAATCTCTAATGTACTTGATAAAGAGGAAGCACACTGACACACATGGTGACAATACTGGATATCACAAACTCCCCCACATGGAACAGAAATTGAAAAGCGTGTAGACTAGATCTACTCTACTGAACACTTCTGTGACGTATGCAGAGAGCACGTCCTTGGTCTATCCTTGATAGGAGTCTCTCTCTCTCTCTCTCTCTCTCTCTCTCTCTCTCTCTCTCTCTCTCTCTCTCTCTCTCTCTCTCTCTCTCTCTCCCTCCCTCCCTCCCTCCCTCCCTCCCTCCCTCCCTCCCTCCCTCCCTCCCTCCCTCCTCCCTCCCTCCCTCCTTCCCTCCCTCTCCACGCAGCGGCAGATCTGTACCTCTAAATACAAAGAAAGAAAGATCAAAAGAAGTTTTTTACCATCTAGCATAATGCTATTGCTCTTTAAAGTATGTACCTATATAACTCCAAAGGTCTTGTAATTAAATTCCTGCATGTGGTGCGGTTGAACGATGCATCTTATGTCAATGTACATTTTGTCAGCTTACTTTTCTCTTTTCGTATTGAATTTTAATGAGAGTAATACATAATTAAAATTTTTATGTTTTTCTGCATGTGTTTTTACGGTCCTGTACAGCCAAGGAAATTTCCCTCTGGGATAATAAAGTATTATTTTATCATATCTTCTCTCTCTCTCTCTCTCTCTCTCTCTCTCTCTCTCTCTCTCTCTCTCTCTCTCTCTCTCTCTCTCTCTCTCTCTCTCTCTCTCTCTCTCTCTCTCTCACTCTCTCTCCTCTGTCTCTCTCTCTCCTCTCTGTCTCTCTCTCTCCTCTCTGACTCTGTCTCTGCCCTTCTCTGTCTCTGTCTCTCCTCTCTGTCTCTCTGTCTAACTCTCTCTCTTTCCCCTATCATCGCAGTTACTGCGGTGAATGAAATATGCGATTGTACATCTATCTAGCTGACATTAATATTTTTTCACTATATGTGTACAAGTTGTTAATACAATGCCTGTTTTGAATTCAAAGAATACATTTTTTTTTAAAATTCGGGACCTGAAAATCTGTTCGCTGTGTGTGATTTTCGCTATGTGCATGTTGACAGCCAAGCAGTTGCATGTATTGAAAGTCAAGACAATTGTCAAGTTACTGAAGTGTAAAGGCAAAAGGGTGAAGGGGGCAAAAGGTTCAGAAACCTGACTTTACTACAACCTATAATAACAGATGAAAAAACTGAATAGACATAGGGTTAATGATTCACTGCCACATAATTTAACCTGAAAATGCTTTTATATTAAATTTCTCACCTCGTAAGATGATAGAGAAAAATGCCGTAGCTGTGGCCCTGTGATATCTAAAATAGCTATAACTATACATTAGTAGTCCAAGGCGGTCTATGGGTGACACAGCAAAGGGAGTTAATACCAATAAAATTAAATAAGAAGCATTCGAACCATGGTGAACCTTATAAAAAGCACTCACAAAGCTAAATTACATTTTGATTTTCACTTTAATAGACCATAGACACTACATCTACATTCTTAACGTACCTGGCTCCAGCTTCAGCTTAAAGTAATCACAAAAATAGCATATAAGTGAAACAGTAGAACGATTTTGTTAGGCCAGGAGGTCATTGCATGAAATACCTAGTGAGCTTTTTACAGCAGACAAGTATTATTAATTATACATAAACTATTCATAAAAGCTTGATCTGCACACATTAATAAGGCTAGCCACTTCGCATTAAAAAATGTGCACGCTGACAAGGAAAGCCGTAGTTCTAAGCAAAACAATCTGCTGTTCTCCTGCTAATAAGAGTACTCTTCTTTCTTTTCTGCATATATTTACTCCCAGTATGCTAACCTCTTGGCAAGCATAAGGTTTTAACTGTGCTTTTACTTATAAAATTTCCCAATTTGTGAGTCATAACTTCAAAGGACTTCAAGCTGACATCAATTCTTTTTTCAGTCAGCTAGATATAAAATTCCCATCCAACAAAAGGTTTCTAATTAATGTCAGTTGTTTATATCTGAGCTTGTTTAAAAATACAGCATATAAATTATTTAAGAGGGTTCCTCTGTAGTCAGTAAAATCTACGAGAAAACATCAGCACATAAGGGACGATTCACAAAAAAACAAAGAATACCTCAATTTCTATGTCTGCAAATATTCCATCATGAAAGCTTTGTCTGAGCCCATCCACCACATTGCAGCGGATTTTGTTTGCCCAGTCAACGCTTGACGCAGACAGCATGCCCGACATCCTAAACGTTAGGGTCTTCCTGGGCCACAGTGAGGTTACTAATATCAGGCACCTGTTTCATATGCAGAAATTCTAGCAGGATCTCACTTTCACAGTCAGTGATTTCAACATGACAAAATGTTGTGGCTCAAGAGTGGAGGCTCCATTGAGTACAAACTTTTTCTCACATCAGCGTCAAATGAAGTTGAAACGACATAATATAATCCATTTTTCCAGGTGAATCGCTGAGCATGCTACATCTTGTGAAGCTTGCACCTGGTCAAAAGAAAATAAAAATCGAACAATCATTATGAAATTTAAGAGAGAACTCAGAAAAAGGATCTCACAAATTAAAACCTAGAGAAACGAAGAGGGAAACATGGAAAATATTCATCATCAAAAGGACTACTGTACTACTATTCAGCAGCTTCTCAGCTACAATAGGCTAACATATGGACAAGCAAACAACAAAAGAGTAGAATCAACAATCAAAATCTATGCTTTGAAACAACAAAACACAATGCAAACCTACTTTTATGGATAAACGAATGTGCAGCTCATGAGCTGAGTTACTGATTGTTAAAGCATTCAAGGCAGAATGAAAGGCCTCTATACTATAAATCCACCCTTTTAAACATGACAATATATTCACTTCTTTGCTGTTTTTATTATGACACCACAACTCTTAACAGATGATTCTAGAGAAGGCTAATTTGTTTTTAAACATTACAAAAACAACTCATCAAAAAAAACACACACATAAACAAGAACCATGGCAAAAAAACAAGTGACCTCACTGCCTTTATTGGCAAAATAAAATTGTTAACATGTTAAGAAGTACCACATGGGAAGAGGCTAGTCATACTTAAGGACGGCTAGACTAGCAGGCTAGTTGTACTTACTGATGGCTAGACTGACAATTTAAAAGCAAAAAAAACAGATTTGTAAATAAAATTTTAGTTTGTAATTGTGTAGACCTATGCCAGCTCAAGATCCAAATGAAAATTCAAGCTTGGCTTTGCGCCCAGAGTGACCTTTGATACGACCGGGGGCCAAAACAGGTTTCAGTCAATAGGGCCTAATCTAATCCAGGGCTCCCCCTTTTCAGGCCAACTTAAGAGGTTCCTTCACCCTTTGGTTTACTATTTTAGGGGTATTTAAACCCTTATTTTAGAAACTTAAAAGGTAAAAGTCAATATCTCATAATTTTAGAGTAAAATTTTTTCCTTGTAAACATTTATCTCACACGCACATTCACACACAGAGTGACCATGACTATGATTGAATGCTAACAATTTTTAATTAACTTAAGAAATAAATAAGTAATATTGACTAGAATTAAAATTAGAATTGTGTCCATTTGGAGGGGGGAAGAGTGGTGGTGGTTGAGCAGTTGGGCCTATACAAAAATAAAATAAAGTTGACAAACCAAGAAAAATAGACCTGCCACTCAATGAAATCTAAATGTCAGGATCTCAGTGGGAAAAAAAATTGAGACTTGGGGAAAAAAATTAGGGGAGTCCATTATTATATTCATGTATATTCCCTCTGCATGCGCGCGCGTGTGTGTGGTGTACGTATGTGTGTGTGAGCGAGCCTGTGTGTGTTTTATCATTATTATTTTTTTAAATCCGAAAGCATCACGTTAAGGTCTCCTAGTCCAAGTGTCTTACACGCCCCCCCCCCCCTCCCCATGGATAGGTCCCGAAAGACGCTTCAACCGGTGCGTGTAAACTAAAATTGACTACGTCAACGGACGGTCCCCAACACACGTGGAACTCTCACTCCGAAGTCATGTCACGTGGTGCGAACGAGCGGTTGAAACAGTTTTACTGACGGGTCTTGATGACGGGCCCGACTAACCAGAACTCGGACAAAGCATGTTTTGGCAAAAGAAGATCTTTGAGAATGTCTTAAGTCGGAATGCCAAATCAATACTACTTCCATTATAGTTGAAATAACATGTGTGAGCAAAGATCCAACACAACTTTTGGTGAGTCAACTACTAAATTCGACAGACAATTCAGAAAATAGTGCTCCGAGTTTCTGTGGACAAAAACGAGTGCTTGCAATGACAGAAAAGAAGGCAGAGTAAGATTTCAGAAAAATCTGGCGCAACAGACGGAACAAAAAATTATTTTTTTTAATCGGGGTACACGCGATCAAAATCGGAAAAATTGGGATGCTTGAGATTTAGGGCAGGGATGAGTAGCAGGTTTGGAAAATAAACTGATTCATTATTCTTCAGAGCCATCCCAGGGTCCACATTCCAGTCTTTCCAGACGTTCGATGGCGGACAATTCGTTTACTAGCGTATTAAAGAAGGATGGGGGTAATCTCATGGCAGGGGTAAACTCAAGGCACGACACCGGCAAATGCGAGCCACCAGAATTTGAACGGAGCTTCTCTGCTGAAGCCAGCCCGTGTTGCCAGAGACTGCGCGCAGCTAATAAGTAGATCTTGGTCGACTTCTGACACAGGTGACTGTCGTGCATGTGTGTGGGTGTGTTGTCAAATCATTGACTCAGCTTTGGGACAGAGAAGGGGGAAAATGATGTTTGCCAGACGCACACCACCTACGTTTTAAAGCGTATCCAAACCCCCGAAATGAAATTATAAAGAGTAAAGCTCACGCACCACCAAAACTTAAAGGGGGTTAATCTGCAGGTATTATGCGTAATATACGCACATTTGTGCGTAATGGGGAGCCCTGACTAATCAGTAGTTGGCCTACACGAGGAAACAAGCGCCAAGCACTCATCATGAGTCATTTCCCAACCACATGCGGCAGTAAGCCACCTAGGGCCTAGGTGATTTTTATCAGCCTGCGAGAGGTCAGGGGTAAGTCCTCGCCTCATGCCCAAATCAGTGTGAAGGTGAGAATATCGAGTCATGAGCTATTCTCACCAGGGGTGAGAATATGTGGCCATCTAGAAAACAAGCCAACCATTATTCACAACAACTGTCTTTGCACTCATGACTTCTCCGCACTCATTAAATTATATCCTCTTCTTCTCTGTCAATTTTTAAAAATTAAATGAACACCTCACACTCTAGTGCGAAGGTAGCTCTTCACCACAGGTCCTCAAAGCTCCCAGTTTTGGGACTCCCTACCTAGGACCTAGGGTAGGGCCAATAGGCCCACTTCCTCCAGTGCTTCATGAAGTCCATGCATTGAATGATTGAACAGGCTTTCTAGTGATATGATTTGATTGTTGTTATTGTTCGGTTGCCAGTTCCACATACACTGCTTAGATATATGCCCATCACACAGTTGTCAATTGGGTAATGTGGTGTAAAAGAATAGTTGACACCGGCCAGTCTGTACTGGCAAAAATCTGACCCCGCACCGACCTGGAGAGATTCACGGGACTAGAGAGACCCGTGCACTCATGAGTGAGTGAAAACAGAGACCGAGTCGATCGGACCATAGAGCAGTGGCCATTCAGGCGTTCAGTAGCGCTAGATCGCAGAAGAACAGAAATAACATCCATCCAGAAGGGGTCCCCTATCTTCATTATCAAGAAACATCGAAAGAACCTGCATCCAGACGGTGAGCAATTATTCAACAGGTAACTCAACTGATTGTCAACATACTGAAAAGAAGGGAGGAGGACAATGACATGTCTGCATGTAAGGAATTTCGGAAGGACTTCGGTAACGAGCGACCACCCCAACAAACACAATAAAGAAGAGACCTGACCCTAACCCTAACCCAAACCCTACCCCTAGCCCTATATTCTACTTTGTCTCATAGTGGATTCTAATTCTAAACATTTCACACAGAGTCACTTTCTAGAGCTAGGTAGGTAATGAAGGTAAATTTTTACTTTCACTCCCATACACAGGATGCTATGCTTCGGAGGTCAAACTGCAGTGTACTGCTTGCTGCAAATCACAACATAAAACCACTAAAACTGTCGCAAATGAATTAAAATATCAAATTATGGGGCAAACAGGGGGGCTGTAACCCCCCATATTTTCTTTCACCCCAGGGGGGGGGGCCCCCCCCCCCCCCCCCCCTATTGTTGGTCCAAAGCACTTCTACTTCTATTAAGAACAATCACATATTTAAAAAACTACTAATTTGCGACAGAAATGAAGTTGATATTTGTGTTCAGCGCATCAATATTTAGGAGAAAATCGACAACTGAAGTGTGAGACGGGATGGAAAGTAAAAATATATCGCAATGACTATTGTTGCCTCATCTGAACTGAGTGAATAAATGCACTCCTAGACTAGATCTAGACTCTAGTAAGTCCCTAAAAGCTCTACTAGATCTAGATCTACCTAGAGATCTAATCTAGATAGACCTAGACTTTTAAGACTAGATTCTAGTAGGCCAAACAACATACAAGAAGTCTTGTAACAAGAGGTCTTCCCAGATCAATATTTTCACTCTGGTCCAGACTAAACAAAAGCTCCTGACAAAGTGAAAGTACAGTCGAACCTGCCTTATAAAAACGGAAACCTTCTGTCTTAACGGAATTTCCCCGCTCCCCCCTTGATATTATAATTCCTCTTTAATTACCTGTAAGCGCAAACCTGTCCAACACGGAAACGGAAAGAAAAATCCGCTCCCTTAAGGGATTCACCAGTCTAAGACGGAAATTGCTTTAATACCTGCTCAGCCCTGATTTGAAACAAAACTTGCAAGTCTGGTTCTGCCGGCTCTAAACTTAACGCCATGGCCATGCCACTGGGCAAAGAAGGGGAGTAGGGGTGCAATTTAGGGGTAAATGTTACCCCATCTATGTGAGCCTTGAGCAATACAGAAGATCAGGGTGGCGTGGGTGTGAAATCTCACAACTGCCCGTAAGAGTGCTCGAGTGCCGAGCCACTACGGAAACTTTCCTTGGTAGCCAGAATAAGCCAGAGGTGTGAAATTAGATTGACCAATGTCTGCCGCCCTGGTGCTGGCAGCCAAGAAAAGAGTTCCATGAATCTTTGTTACATGATGGCAGTGAGTTGTGGCATTTGTTGACTGTGCTTGTTACACCGGTGGGTGGGGCTAAGGGTGGAAGCAAATGAGATGTTCAAACGGGTCTGTTTTTAAGGTCAAACAGTGGTCCTATGAAAAGAAAGGCAAGCACTGGTGGTAATTGGATGTCATTATCAGACAGGATAGCAATTGAGAGGTGTGAAAGTGTTGATCACAACGGCTGGGCCTTTGAATCCCCCCCCCATCCCCCCCCCCCTTCCTAAATTCCCCTGTCTAAGACGCATTTTTTTTCTGGCTCCCTTGCGATTCCATCTTACACAGGTTCGACTGTACATGAAACATCACATAATACAGTTGCTACAGTATTTGTGTGAACACAGGCAGCACGGTAAATCAATCAAAACATGTTTTTCAGAAAATAAGGGAAGATTGAAGAATACCGGACCACTCGTACATTATTGCGCGAGAAAGTGGGGCGGGTGGTTGGGGTGGAGGAGGGGGGAGGGGGGTTCAGGGGGGTCTCCCCCCTGACAAAATTTTAAGGAATAGATCTACCGGTCCCAGATTCTCCATTGAGAAGATATTAAAAACGGGAAAATCATTAATTCCTAAGGTTGAGACATAGGCAAAGTCAGTCCGCTGGTCTGGTATTCTTCAATCTTACCGAAAATAATCTTGTTTGCTGGATCTAATCGAGATTCTAAATTTTGATTTCAAGTCAGGCTATCGCGACTAGACTAGATGTAGAATCTAGATGTAGAATCTAGATGGGGAAGATTGAAGAATACCGGACCACTCGTAGATCTACATTATTGCTCAAGAAAGTGGGGTTGGTGGGGCGGGTGGTTGGGGTGGAGGGGGGGTTCAGGGGGGTCTCCCCCCTGACAAAATTTTAATGAATAGATCTACAGGTCCGAGATTCTCCATTGAGAGAGATATAATGAAAAACGGGAAAATTATGAATTCCTAAGTGACCTAAGGTTGAGACATAGATCTAGAAAATCTAGTCATAGATCTAGACTAGATTCTAGATGATCTAGGCTGAGGCTAAGTCAGTCCGCTGGTCCAGTATGTAGAATGAAAGTGGCTATTCTCACCCGCCCGGAAGTTCTCGCAAGATCAACTCCTCCCCTCTTCTCTCTCTCTCTGTCTCTTTCTGAATACCGTCTAGACTATTGGTGTGGACGATCAA